AACACTAGCTGCTGCGCTTTCTGCTGCTGCTGTTTCTCTTCCTCCTGCATCTGTCCCCGCATCTACTGCTGCTGCTGCTGCTGCTGCTGCTGCTGCTGCTGCTGCTGCTGCTGCTGCTGCTGCAGGACGTGGATAAGGAGACAGTAGGCGACGCTTTGTCTGCGATGGGTGTGGTGCTGGAGGGTGTGGGGCCCGCAGCTATCTTCAGCAGGGAGCAGCGCGAAGCTCTGCTGCAGCAGTGCAGCAGCTTGCTGCGCGGCTCACATATCTGTCAGCTCAATCAAGACGTTGATGAGGTGTACAGACACTACAACTGCTGCTGCTGCTGCTGCTGCTGCTGCTGCTGCTGCTGGGGTTGCTCGGGTTGCTGGGGTTGCTGCTTCTGGTGTTGCTGCTGCTGCTGCTGTTGCTGGGGTTGCTGGGGTTGCTGCTGCTGGTGTTGCTGCTGCTGGCGTTGCCGTTGGTGCTGGTGTTTCTGTTGGTGCTGCTGCTGCTACTACTGTCGTTGCTGCTGCTGCTGCTGTTGCTGCTGCTGCTGCTGTTGCTGCTGCTGTTTGTTTATGCTGCTGCTGCTGCTGCTGCTGGTGGTTGCTGCATGCAGGACGATGACTCGCGGCAGGAGGAGGAGTACTTGTTTGAGGGTTTGGTGGCCTTCCTCTCCGCCTTTGCGAGTGCAGCAGCACAAGGAACAGCAGCAGCAACAGCAGCAGCAGCAGCAGCAGGAGGAGACAATCAAGCAGCAGCAGCAGCAGCAGCAGCAGCAGAAGCAGTAGCAGCAAACTGCAACATGAAAGAGTTCTGTGCTGCTTATGCTGACCTTCACCCGCATATCCTCGCCCTGGCGGCCCACAAACACTCAAAAATTTATGCTGCTATAGGACTCGGTTGCTTCGCTGAGGTCTGCTGCTCCTGCTGCTGCTGCTGCTGCTGCTGCTGCTGCTTGTGCTGCTTGTGCTGCTGCTGCTCGTGCTGCTGCTGGTCGTGCTTCTGCTGCTGCTGCTGATGCTGCTGCTGCTGCTGCTCTTTATGGTGGTGGTGGTGCTGCTGCTGCTGCTCTTGGTGGTGGTGGTGGTGCTGCTGCTGCTGCTCTTGGTGGTAGTGGTGCTGCTGCTGCTGCTGCTGCTGCTGCTGCTGCTGCACCAGGTGTTTATAGCAGCAGCTCTGCTGCTGCTGCTGTTCTGCAGCAGTTTTTTTGCTGCCATTACTGAATCTATGTCTTCTCCGCCGCTGCTGCTGCTGCTGCTGCTGCTGCTGCTGCTGTTGGTTTAGGTGTTTAGAGAGATGCTAGCAGCAGCAATACCTTACGCAGGCCTAGCAGCAGTGCTGAAGGCTGTGGGGAGCGGCATCGCCCAGGATGAGGATGAAGACTGCAGGCGCAACGCTTGCTTCTGTCTTAGTGTTATCTACGAGGTCTGCTGCTGCTGCTGCTGCTGCTCCTGCTGCTGCTGCTGCTGCTGCTGCTGCTGCTGCTGCTGGTGGTAGTGGTGGTGCTTTATTTGATGCTGCTGATGATGCAGACGGGGGAATGGCAACTGCTGCGTTGCGTATGATATCTGCTGCTGTTGCTGCTGCTGCTGCTGCTGCTGCTGCTGCTGCTGTTGCTGCTGCTGCTGCTGCTGCTGC